CTTGACGAAATCAGCGGCTCTCAATAGAAGCCAAGGAGCGAACATCTCACAACAAAATTGCTGTTTCGCTATAATTGAGGAGCTGATGGATGAGGAAGCCGAATTGATCGGAGCAAATAAAGAAAAATACATCATTAACTTGGTATTAAAATACATATTAAAAATACACTAGTGATCATCAGTGCATCACCAACCTTGAAACGCAAAGTTTGGCATTGTTTACTTTGGTGTTTTCTGTCAATTGATAGTGATAAATGTTAGCTCATATTAATTTACAATTTACTTACATGTCTAAATATTTTAATATATTATTTAGAAAAAAAAATTATAAGGCAAAAAATTTAACAAAAGTAATTACACTTTAAAACTCTATCAATACTAAAAAAATTAAGAGTTTATTCGGTAATCAACTTATAATATTTTTAACATCTGCAAATTACGAAAAAAAATTAATTAATTTACTTCTAACAAGCAGCCATGAGAATTAAAAGCAGATAGTACCGAAGATTTGGACTCATTTTGAGTACAGTGAGCATTTTCAACCTGAATTTTTTCCTACTCCTTTTTCATGCCTTTCGCACCAAGATTAAGAGGTATAATTAATAACAGTATTAAAATTTTCATGCCATAATGTTTCATTTAGGATTCTGCTCTTGTTCTTTTTTCTTGTTTGTGAATTAGTATTCTTTCCATGGAAAAATTTCATATATTATTCTTTTGAGTCTTTTAGACATTATGAAGAATAAGGAGTAAAGCTAAAGCAAAAATCAAGTCTTTTCCAAACTGTGTCGATATTAGTTGTACAACAATTCAAATTAACTATTTATGAAAGGGCTTTCCTTTTAGCATATAAATACAATATTTGACTAGACGAGATTTAATTAGTTAATTTTTTTTTTTTTTGGCTACTTTCTGACTTCTTTGAAACCCTCATATAAAATATGCAAACTAAAACTAAAACTAAAGCAAGGCCCAGGAACATTATCAAAACAAAAGAAATCAAAATGACAGAATATTAAATATTTATTTTGAACAAAAATGTATGTATGGAACGCAATGAATTATCTTCATACAATTATCTATCCTAATAAGAGCAAAAAAAAAAATTAAATCACACTGCTAACTCTTTGTTGTTATCATGACAAAACTTTTCTCATCGTTAATTATTAGGATTTGATGTTCAATTATTGAAATTAGAAGATTACCTACTAATAAGGATGAAACT